CGTTCAGTAGAGGCACTGCATTTGGACACCTGTAGCTTTGCAATTCCCTCTGTGTCACTGCCAGTCTTTCAACCAAGATTAGCCTTCAGCTGTCAGCAGGGAAAGCAGTGTGGCTTCAAGGAAAGCACATTTTGCTGGGCCTCAGAAAAGGTATCACCTTCTCTGGCTCTTCTGTTTCTTTGCTGGGTGACCTCAAAGAAGTTTCCACCTGGATCCTGAAAACGTTTCTTGTTAAACACTTTGTATCTATCAGTAGGAAATGGTGTGTTACAGAAATGTGATAACACTGTTGTACAGCTAACCATGCTCTGGTCCTGCAGTTGGTACATGGGCATCAAAGAAGGAATGTAGTAAATGTTAGCAGAGGTTCACAGCAATTGGGACAACCAAGAAACTGCTAAGTTCTGCAATGCAGCTACTTTCTTTGTGGCAGAGGAATGAAAAATTTGCACTGATGTTTGACCTTAACTAATTAGACTGTGTACAGGAGTGTCTAACAGGATGCAAATGTTTTGTGTCATTTTCTGCTCAGCCAAGGCTTGGGAGAGACAAGAGTGCAAGACAAATCCTTTGTTACTCAAAGAAGCAAGGGACAGGGCAAAAAGTTCAGCAGATCCTGCATTGAAGTGGAATACTTGCTGGAGGATCAGTAGGAATCAGCTGCCTCCTCTGTGCCTGTCAGTGAGCTATGTTCATGCAGCAGACTTTTTTTGGCCAAACTGCAGTTTATCAATTGCTTAGGCAGGAACAAAGTCAGTAACAAAAGGCTAACTAGGGTGCTGGCGAGGCAGGCTCCTGGATCTGATTTTGCTGCTTTCCATAAAAGGGACTTGCATGCTTTTTCCCAGCCATTCTCTCCAGGAATCTGTGTAGAAAAATATTTGTTCCATAACCACAGTGAACAGCCTCTCATGGCCTGGCAGCCGCCTGCATACTTGAGGCTTTCTGCTGTCTCTGAAGTTTAACTCTGCAGGAGCCTGTGCCGACGCTGAGTCTAATCCTAATTTTGGGCTTTCATATCCCCAGCCCAGCCCCGTGGGACTGGGACTGCTGACAATGGCGGCAGCACATCCCCGGTGAGTGGAGGGCGAAGATTAGCCTTCACATTGTGCCTCTAATGATAAGTAGCAAGGAGGATAATAAGCAGCACTCTTGTAGTGCTTTACGTCTTCAAAGTGCTCTGCTGCTGCTGACTAATTAAGCTGCCTCCAAGCCTTGTGACAAAGGTATGAATTTCTGTTGTGCATAATGTAGCTGTGCTGTATTGTTATGCAATAAACCAAAATGGGATAGTGTCTTCAGATGGCAATCAGGAAATCAATTAGCCAAGGACTGGCTGCTCACACCCTAAC